TTACGCATCCTACATTGCGTATTTTGTTACCGTACTCTTAAAGATCGTACAAAATAGAAAAAATTACTCGAGTAAAATGGATCCTGTAAGGATGTATGTGCACCACATGGGTTGACGAAACTCTTGTGTGTCACACAAGAATTTTCACTGTAACGGCAAAGTCTAATATCTCGCATATTTGATGAAGACGCACTCCTAAACGTGCTATATGCAAGCAATTAAAGCATGCACGAAATAAAGTACAAGACAATGAAGTAATCGCTCTACAGAATAAAAACTTAATTAACACAGATATGTCATTCAAATATTGTTAGCTGGAATATGCCCTTTGAAATCGAGTGATCAGAATGTTAAATATGCATACAAAAGAAACATACGCGTCACAGTGGCTATTATACATTTTATACACTCTTTGTAAGTCGACGTGCGCGTCCTCGCATTAGAAAGAAAATATTCCAGTAACGATATTCGACGTTTACTATTTTTAAATTCTAATATAGCACGTCATATCGACAAAAACATTCTTAGGTAACTAAGGTAGGTAATCTTATTACGGATGTATTAATTGTAGAAGAATATTGATATTGAAGTCCGGAGGCACGGGCAATCAATGTGAATCCGTGTCTCGTTTTAGAAAGTTGAAAGTGCGAGTTTGATTTGGTTAAGCAAGCAAGGTTTCGCATATTACATCCGAGGCCAGGATATGATTATCAGGGACATTGTTAGTTTTTTAGCTTGTAGGATTGTTTGTTAGACAGAACTTACTTATGTTAGTAAGTAAGATTAGGGTTGGGGCCTAGGACAGGTCGTCGCCGCCCCGCGGATACGACAGTCATCGAGCCACGTACTGTCCCCCCATCATATCTACGGGCAACAACAAGTATTGTTTAGTTTGCGCAGAAAATAAAAGATATCAGTAAGGGATATACCTTATCGAAACACTATTCAAATAATTAATCGTTAAACAGCTTTGAAAAATGAAATACCATCAACAACATAGTCCTCTCGCTTCGCTTTAGAAAAATTTATTATAAATGTGATCATATTCGTTTTGCGAATACAACTGATAGCCAATTTTGTCGAGTATTATTTCCACAACTTTTTAATGAAAAGAAAGTACAAGGAAGTTTCTTATTTTCTGCACAAATTAAAGCCTGCCTAAATCTTCAATGCTATGGAGTAGTTCCTTAAAATGTTGAGTCGCAGCTAATTTGATCCGATGATAATTATGTGTTTCTTTTCAGAAATTTCTGCAACAGTCATTTATGTTCCGATCTGAAGATTTTTATGAATTTATGTGCAAAGCGGTTGATTAAGTAGTAAATGATTAAAAATATTTTCTTAACTTTCGATTTCGCCCTGTTCATAATATTTGTTAAACAAATTTTTCAATATCTCTAATGTGTTGCAAATACGAAACCATAGAGTTATATAAAGTTTAGGAGCAATAAATGATATGGAAGAAGTTGTGTGCGAGATAAATAGAATCTATAACCAATAAACTCAATTGATATCTGGTTTGATACATATAGACCCTTGATTACTATCAACATTTAATCGTATAATTATGAAAATTTACCCATATTCTAAAATCATAAAATATGTATTCATTTTTTATAGGAAATGTTGGATAAAATCTCCATGAAAATAATTGTTTAATATTTCCGTTGATTATTATGTAATTTTACCATCCTCTTATCAAAGAAATTTAAGGAAATACAGTACAGCTTAAATTCTGACGAGAATGAATGTTTAAGAACGCTATTATTGTAAGCAGTGTGATCTGAATATACATTAATCATGTTAATTATAAATAAGAACTTCCACACTATCAGGTATGCAGCGACTTACCGTGATCCTGGCTCATCGATACCACTGCCGGGCTCGTGTTAGCACTGTTGGCAGCAGCAATATTTGTGTTGGTCCCCTCGTCGGCTGTTCGCTTAAAGAAATTGTGCTGAAGTGCGTAATACGGCGTCACCCTTGTTTTCGGATCAAAGTCCAGCATCCGCAGAATCAAGTCTTTGAATTTGAGGTAATCAGAAATTGAATGACCAGGTTCACCTATCCTTCTACCACCAGGGCCTCCGCTTTCAACGCCTAAGATATCGTGTAAGCGCCTCGTGCCAGGAGGTTTGTACTTTTTACCGTCCTTAGATTTTTTCAGCACATACGAGCCATCCGTGGGGACTTTGTCAAAGTATTTCCGCGCTTTGTGCGCTTGGTCCAATATATGTTTCGGTGGCATTCCTAGTACTTCTACGATTTTATTCATTTGATCGACCTGAAATATCGTCAGATATAATGAGCAACATTATTAGACATCAAGTATCTAGCGCAATATTAACAATGGTGTGCTTTTCGAAAGAAGGTAACTGAAGTCATAAAAGCTGTCTACTCCACTCCTATGTTGTAAGTCTGAAGTAACAGGAATCAGTTTATCTCTCGAATAATAGGTAATAATATTAACCTGCGGTTGTGTGTGTGGAAGCGTCTTTAAAATAACTTAACTTAAATAAAGATTCTGACTAAAATAATTAGAAGATCCGCAACGCTGCTAGAACACTTACAGATGAAAATTCTTTTTACAGAATCGTTATTACATCAGCTCTAAAACGGTCAAGTGTTGTAACTATGGCTAATCAATTCTATATCTCTCCTTTCCCCGTAAAGCAAAGTGTAAGGAAAGTCATTCATTTTTACACACCAGTTCGGTTTACTTTAGATACAGAGACTTGGTGATAACGAAACATATTTACTTATAAATACATGGAAAGTAGCAGATGGATACAAAGACAAAAATTACGATTATAACACCATGTCGCTTGTTATAATTTTTTCAAAAACTGTAACAATCATATGTCACAATCATAGTATTAATATTTGTGTGTGC